TGCACTTCTACAGACGCGGGATGGACATTTCGCCCGCCATTGGAGGGGCGAGGCTCAGCCGAGGAACTTAAGTTTCTGCTTCCGCGGGAGGGGCAAGGGCTGAGGGAGCCGGGGAGGGGGTGGCCAACGGGTGGACTACCCGGACTGTCGGTTGTGAGAGTCACTGTCACGATCAACGGTTCTGTTCTGTGTGTCTGATGGAACCTCTCGCTTCGGATTGCCAGGCTAAGACGGATCTGGACCGCACGTAAGGTATGGGCTGCGCAGCTGGGAGGTTCTGCCCACACCTTATCATGCCGAGGGCGTTAGAGGCCGCGGCCCGCGTCAAGTCTGTTAATATGCCTTTCAAGTGTATGGTCTTCCCCGAAACTAAGATTTATTTTTTTCTAGTCTTCGTTGGTCTCGTAGCTTAGTTTCGAGTAGCAGCCCCCATGATAATGTCTACAACGACTACTGCCGCCAACGCTTTCTCATGTTCCAACCAGAAACGCGAAGACTAGTAGGAGATGACGATTTGTCTGAGACCCTATTGCCGTGCAAATATGTTCCGTCACGAGAATCCGCTGGTGCTGACTATCCGCACTCGGCGGCCCGATGGGTGCTTGGTAGGACTACTGTGGCTTTGGCTTTGGCTTTGGCTTAGGTTGGGTTGGTCTAGTTGATTTGTCTCCGGTGTAGATCTGGCTGGGTTTCGAAGAGGAACAGCCTTGTGGTTTTCTGTAGTTGCCATCAGTCAGCTTCAAAGAGTTCCACGAGGCCACCAAAGCAGTCGTTCATGCTCACAGTTGTCTCTCAAGCTCGGTGGTGAAAGACATGGTATTCGTCGCAAAGTCGCGCTGAGCAAAGGACAAGACGCGTGACAGTCAGTGGTTTGAATACGCAAGAAGTCGCAGTCAGAGGCTTGTCGGGGGACAGAAAATTGCATCGCTGTCCAGCTCGCGATACTGAGGGGGTTGGAAGGGGGCGTATTTATAGGAAACCAGAGTCAATTTTGCTACCATCGTAGTTTTATTCTTCAGTTGTGTGCTCTAGAAGAAGGAAGCAAGGTCTGTCTGCCCCGTATGCGTGATCAGACATGACAGAGATCCCGACAGCTGACGATGTTCAAACTTGAGGCTAGCTAGTCCTCGCTTCTCCTTGCTACCATGCGGCCGTCGATGCAGCCGAGTACGTTCGAGGGCACGATGCGGCGTCTCCTAGGCACTGCGCCGCAAGACAAGTCAGTGAACAAGCCTAGGGGCGTATCGAATGTGCAAAACACCAGCGGAAGCACGAAGTCGGGCGTGGTGGTTGGTTCGTGGGGAGCCGGGGAAGAAGGCGTCCCGCGTCACCTACCCCGGCACTTTCCTCACCCATGAATACCACACCTCAGAGCAGAGCGATAACTTCGCAAATCAGCTCAAGGGGACTTGGGGGCTCAGGTATCCTCCCCCGGCTGTGGTGCCGGGGCGGCACGGTCCTCATGTGCCGCGTCTGATGAACTCCCTCGCCAGCAGGGGAAGGGGGGCTTGCGGTGGCGTTCCGGGCCTGGTCGGTTGAGATTGCAACATGCGTGCCCGTAGTGCGTTGGCGGTAAACACAGCCAGGAGCACAGCTTTGGTGTCATACAGGGACCCTTCTGTAAAGCTCCTTCGCTGGGAGACCCGTCCTGTTCCTCTGCAGCTGTCACGCGATTCTGGTGACGCGTTGGCGTTGGCGTTGGTCTGCCCGACGCGTGCGCCGGCCTGCGATCGAAGACATCCAGCTTCAGCATGCAATGCGTGATTGACTGCTAGAATCGAAGGAATCCTGGTTGTCTACCGTGAACGACAGGCTGGGGTGGTCTGTTCTGGTTCGGTCAAGGTGAGCGACCCAGCGAATCAAACCATGTGTGCTTGGGACCAACGAAACCGGTGACAGGGGAAGAGAATCCCCCTCACCTGGGGCTGAAGAGGTGGTTAGATCTGCATGGCTGCTGCCGTCGCCGGAAGCCCCCTTCCCTCCCACCAAGCTTTCATTTGCCCATCCAATTCCATGGACAAATCCACGCCGTCTGCGCGGAGTTTGGGACCTGCGACAGACATAGAGCCATTGAATCTACCGCCGCCCATTGAATTTTGCGCTGGCAAAATTACGACCCTGGATGAAGCAGGGACCACACCGATCTGCCATCAGGTCTTGGCGGTAATGGTTGCGAACCGACGATAGCGACAAATCTCTCCAATTCAACCGCGTAACCGTGCCATTCGATTGCGGACATTGGAAATGCACTCGCCACACTGAGGCTATCACCCGGAGTAGTTTCGTTTCCTTTCACAGGCTCAGCAAGCGGTACAGCATGGCACCGAGCATAGCTATGGCGGATGTTTGAGATGTTTGAGAATTGCGGGCAGAATGGTGTACGGCGGAGATGTTGCTGAATCAACAGAAACCACTAGCAAATACGTCAGTGGATAAGTCTGCAAAAATTGGAGGGAAAATACCGAGCAAAATCATTCATGTGGAAGAATAGACAGATGTCGTTGCCTTTAGGTGACCCCATAAGGCTGATGTATGTCATCAAGGGACGGCTCGCAAGCCAGCCGTCTCACATGTTCAGGGGGAAGTAGATCCGATTCTGCGCGAATCCCAGAGACGGGAGCTGACTAGACCAACCAGTGTCGAATTCATGGGCGACTAAACCATAAATAGGAACGCCAAACGTTGCACAGGCTTCCCCCGGTGCACAATTCTATCTAATGCCAGCGCTTCCCGGCCGTAGCCATGCATATATTCGCTCGTATCGGGTGGGCGTCCCAGGTTTCCACCATGAAGGTTGCATTATTCATCTGGAGATGAGGCTTTTGTTGGCTCGCGCATTAACCGCGCGTATTAGAAAGCGTCTGGCGTGGTGGCATGGGTTGACACCACTCGCAGTTCCCACCTTTCCCCCAGGGGACACAGTCCGAGATGGCCGCGTCATGCGAAAGACGTGGGGAGACTTGCCAAATTGAATTGATATGGTGAGTCAAACACACTCCTTTGGTCCGATACATAAGCCATCTGCATCAATCAAGGTCTTCGGGTTTTTCATTTGTATTTATGAACTTCTCTTTGCGAGATCACAGCATGTTCTGCTGCGGCATTTCTCCTGAATCGAATGTTGGTTGTACAGCATGGGCAAACACTAGCCCCCCTTTGTTTTCATGATCAAATGCGCGACAATGATGATCTGGGGAAGATTCACAACTTGTACGATGGGATCCCATCGCGGGGCCGCCTCGGTGGGCCGGTCCGGACTCGCTCATCCAGCAATATGACCCTCCCAGTTCCCCTTTTCATTCCCATTGCTTTACAAACCATTGACTCTCAATCTCGAATGAATCGGAAATAGCTCGTAACAGATCTTGGGGGGGCACTGGTCGCTGCTCTGCTGTCGCGAAGAGGAGTGTGGCGTTACCCCCGCAGTACTGGCAGAGATCCAAACTGGCAGTAGCTCCAATGCCTCCCTATACTTCAGGTCATGTCGACCTGACCGATCAAACCAATGATGATGTGTGTGCTCAGTCTTCCTCAGCCTGGTTTTCTTCACTTCTTCCACAGGATACCGGGCCGATCCTCTTTGGATTGCCGACTCCTTGCGACCCGAGCTGATAGGGCGCTATCCCACTTTCTTGCGGCCCGATAGAGGCTGAGAAGATTGGCAACTGCACCACGAAGAGAGCGGTGAGAGTCTGAAATTCCCTAAATGTCTCTGATTGAAGATCTATTTTCGTCATCGTCGCTGGCGTGTACATCTCAGTACTAATTTGTGCACACCCACCTGCTGTCACGACCTACTCGACCTGTGAGCGTACTTCTACAATGTTGGAACTCTGCTGTAAAGCAGCACATTCAAACCTTCTTCAACATCATGTGAACTCGGCCTGCTTCTCTTGCGTCTTCTTTACGCCCGAAACCATCACGAAGGCGACGAATCGGTCAGCAGATCAACACACCATTGCTCACCGCAACAGAACATCTTCAACCAAGTATCTCAAGAGCAGGCAGACAACTCACCATATCAGGGCGCCTAAGATCTGCCTTTGCCCATCATATCCTGTCTCCCTACACCACCTCATAACGTGGGGTCCAAACTGAGGGACCGCCGACCAACATCGCCATTTTGTTGGCAATGTTGGCAAGGCTGGACCACCCAACTCGTTCCACGCCGACATGACGATCTGGGCGCTCCCACTTCTAGCCTTCGTCTATAAAATGGAGTCCTAAGTCATCTAATTCTTGCGAGATTCCAGAAGGAAGATCAGACGAATACGATCCTTTTCTTATCATGACAACTACACTTTCTACTGATGTCGAAGCCGGCTACGGCGAGAACAGCATATCCACAACGACTGGTGCTCCTTCCACGAACCTGATCAGGTCTATCCTTCATGAATGCGGCTTTTATCCACAGACAGCTGCTTCTTCACAGCGTGCGTGTCCCACTGCTCCTTACACCGGTTCACCTTACTGACACAGCAAGCAGTGGATCCGAGTAACACTTCCGTCCGATCCGCAGACTATGTCTATAGTTCCCAGAGTGAGCACAAGCATCAGAAGAACCTCGGCTCATACGAGTCTAACATGCATCAAGTTAATCGGTACCCGGAAGGCTGGTCACGCCTAGCCGCCGAGCAAGAGGGATTCGAGAACACTGCGATCCACCGAAAATTCGGCTATCTACTGCAACGATGCCTTCTAGACTCCCACCACAGACTCGCAGCCTTGGCAAGGAGACTGTTCGAGTTGGACCATCTAATGGCTAGTACCAGAGCACCAGATGATCTTACAGAGACCACAGGAGAGATAGATGACGGTCTAGCTGGCGAGCGAGCCCCTGCGGGAGAAGCCTCACTACTCAGCGAGCAACAAGGCAACAGCGTCCCACAAAAGATATCTCAAGTGATACAGGAGATATGGCCTCTTCTAAACAACCATCGTAAGGTGTTCCGGCAGCTGCAAAATTGACAAGGCGATTCTGACTGATGACACAAGACCAGATGATGTTCAACGAGAAGACCTTACGATCACTCCACGAAGTACGAGAGCCCGAGTTCTGGAATCGATGCAACAAGATTAAAGATGACGGGTACCTGAACGAGGAAGAAATGGAGTATCTGAGTCACCCAGACGATTTCGTCAGTACGGCGACGGATCCGCTATGGCGGACAATCACAGGCTGGATGTACCTGCTCCCGAGGTGGCTTGTGTTGGTAAGCTATCAAGAACAAAATGGAGCATCGGCGGATACTTTGCTGACTTTGCCTGTCTTCATAGCTACTCTTCAAGGACAAGAGAACGGAGGAGCAGAAGTTTGCGTCTCCTCTGCTGACGGGAGGCATGGAGATGTTCTGCAAAGGACTTGCCATACTGGTCTACGCAATCGTCCTGTTGCTGCCGATCATATTTCTCTACATCTTCCCAGACATGAGCACAGCAGGCGCCGTATGTCTTGTGACTAGCTTCACCCTCCTGTTCATGGCCATGATGTTTTGTCACCAAGGGGCCACCATGCTGGTCGTAGGTGTAGGGGCCTGTACTTATGCTGCCGTCCTCGTCGCGTTTCTGGCCAATCTCCAAGGGTAGGCCAAGGCGAGCCCAAGTTGGGACTAAGGTGAGTCTTGAAGCGAACAAACCTTGACTGAGGACATGGATAGTATTGCGCTATGATTGTGTGGACGTTCTGGATGGGCAGAACGAGGCTGTGGATCCAACTAGGTGCCAGATTGACATGTCGTTGTTACAGCGCAGGCAAGGAGTCGTGCGTATCATGATGCGCGCGTCTCATGTTGACTGAGGATAGAAACGAAGTTGCTCGGTTGTGTCTTGATATGTTTTTGTTAAGTCATGTTTTTCAACGGTTTTTAGTACTTGCGATTCAGACAACAAGAAGTAACTACAAAAGGTTCACCCAGCACAATCCCATGTGATGTGAATACTTCTTTACAGCAATTAATAGTGCCAATCTCAACCCTGCGAATTCGCAAGAGAGCGAGGCTGTTCTATGCATCACAATTTGGAAGTAGAGTCGACGAAACCGAAGTGAGAAATTATGTATCATAATTAAACCTCCGTAGCAAGTGAGGAAATCGACCTTTCATCTAGGCAAATCCAATCGCTTCCTTCTATCGTGTTCATCGTCTTCATAACCGCGAAGCGTATATCCTGGTATCATCAAACAAAGCAAAGATCCAACGCGTGTTTTCAATAGCTTTCAGTTCCCTGGAGGGGTGACCACGATGGTATCAGGGCTAGCCTGATCAAAGTCGGCCTCCACCCCTCCGCCGTCCTTTTGCGACTTGTTGGGTGTCTCCGAAGCCTCGCGAATCCTCTCAAGGCGCCACGAAGCCTCGGCCTGCGGCGTTGACGGCACATTATCGCCACCAGTAGTCTTAGCCATCTGTTGCGCTCCTTGTGAGCCATCGCCCTGGACACTGACGCCCTGCAGCGGCTCGATGGTCTGGTCGGAGCGTTTCAGCGTATTGGGGATGGCCAGGAGCTCTTTTGTCAGACCGCGGACCCCTTCAAAAATGTGCTCTGGGGCATCCCAAGCGACCAAGCCCGGTGTTACCGATGCCCGCCGCGTGTGGAGGAGGTTGTACGAGACCCTCGCCCACGCCGGACACGCGTATGAGACTGACGCCGGACGGGGCGCGACAACTTGCGCTTCGACATCACTCGGCCCAGTGGCTGCTTCGCCAGTGAACACCGTCATTGCGATCTTGGGCTTCACAGCCGACTTCGGCGGCGCCTCCTCCTCGTGGGCAAGACAGTGAGCCCAGAAGCGCAGTGCGGCCTCGGGGCCGGGAAGCCACGCCGTCTGCGTCAGAGTGACGATCTCTGTTGGTGAGAACTGCTTCTGCGCTCCCAAGACGCGGAGGACCTTGAGCACGAGCGCGAGGAGCCCGACCGGCGAGTCGCAGAGGGCGAAGGATGGCGTATTTGGCTCCAGCATGTCTGGCGGAGGGGTAGCTGGCGATTTGGAGGCCCGGTCCAAGGAAGCGAAGTCCTCGCGTTGGTAACCCAGTACTGGGGCGCGGAAGAACTTTGCGATGGACCACTTCATCCACTCCAGAGGCGCTGCCTGCGCAGTCGGTGCTTTGATGGACGGGTTGATGAAGTGGGCGCCTACGCAGCTGTTGGGGTAGTGCGTCGCCAGGTAGCTGGCGATTTTCCAGTCGATTTCTGCGGGACTTGAGGCGGCTGAAGCTGTGTTTGTCGTGACATATGTCGAGTACGAAAGTCTTGTCATGACGGTGTTGAGAACCTCTGCCGTCGCCGAGATGACGGATGTGTTACTTGGGAGCGCATCGCTGAAGCCGATACCAGGCAAAGAGGGAATCACCACGTGGAAAGGCTGCTTATTCTCCGGATCCTCCGGCTCTGCCAGAGGCTGAATAAGATGCTGGAGAGATAGATTGGTGAAGGGGAAAGGAGGAATCAAAAGCAGGGGGACTGCATTGCTTTGAGAAGACCTGACGTGGATGAAGTGAGACCGCACGGAAGCCTCGGTGCCCGGGATGAGGACTGCTGTACGGAATTGGGGGAGCTGGGCGTTTAAGAGCCTCTCTTGCTCTCGCCAGTCAAACTTTTCGAGCCTGTTTGCGTGCTGCTATTAACAACGCGCTTCTTCTGCTTCAGGAAGAGAAGAGGTAACTCACCAGTAGTCAACGAGCGGCTCGATCCGGGGTTTCGGCTCCCACCAGTCTTGCGACTTGGGTTCTGAAGTTTCATGAGGCAGCCTGGTGAGTTCCAGCTTTTGCTTCGTGAGGTCGAGGTATTTGCTTGAAACCTGTGGTACAATGAGTCAGTCACCAAGTCCCCTCACCTTGCTTAGAATCTCTCACATGAATGCGGTAAGGCCTAATCTCATCACCTGCCAAGACGGCGCTGTTCTCAAGAGGAGTCACCATGATGAGTGGGCATAGTCTTTGAAGATCAAACTTTAATCCTTCTTTTCGTTTTCCAGAAGGAAACAAAATAAACAAAGTCTCCAAAGAGACGGTGAGCAGAGCGAAGAAATGCCAGTGGAAAACAATCAAGGACGGGGCGTATTGAATAAGGGCATCAACCACGTAAGCAACCCAAAGCAATAAGTGTTACCCAACTGGGAACCAACGCCCTGCAAAGTCTCATTGATATCGCCGGGGACTTTAATAAGGTCCGAACCTTCCACAATCCCAAGCGAGCGCTTCCATGTTCAATGTCCGTCGTGCCGTCGTCCTGGTCGAGTGAAGGCATTGTGGCTGGACTCCTCCCTACGTGTTGGAAGGCCTCTGAGTGGTCGCAGAGGTGGGATAGCAAGTCTAGAACGGGTGCACACCGATAGACATGTGGCGGTGCACTCGAATCCCCGTCAATATTCGGAAATGATCACCGCTTTTTGCTGGCTTTGCCAGGTACAGAGTTGCATCAACCAAGCTAAATCTTGGACGGAATTTTGGAGCTAGTGCATCTATTGGCTATGCTTCATCCAAACCCCTGCTCAGTTGGGATGGTAAACTTGCCACATCAGCCACACTCTTTGAGTTTCCCATCATTTTCAGATTCCCATCTGAGTGACTCGCGCCTGGTGTCTGTCAGTCGCAGCCGCAGAGAAGGTGTGTGATAAAGGCAGTTCAGTGTACGCATTTCTCAGCAGCTTGCTCATGCCTAGGTGTGATAGTCAAACACGCGTCCTTTGCCACATCTGATCTTCCCAACGCCAATTGTAACCTGATCACAAGTCCAGTATCACCCCGGCGCTGTTCCGGGCGTCTCCAGAATCCCTTCTTTCGTCGCGTAGTCTCGCTGCAAATCATGCACCACGCTTCCCTTGGAAGAACTCGAGGACGAAGAGTTCGAGTCTCCGCACATTCGGTGGCTGTCGTCCCCTCAGGTATCTCTTGTTCTTCATTACCTCCACAAGTCCAATCGTTTGATGTGACAAGCCCTCTGTTCCATTTGCCGCGACCATGAGTCTTGTGTGTTTCGGATCCGTCCGAATCGGTAGACGGCTTGCCTCAAAATGAAGATTCCGGCCTCACGAAGGGCGTTGCGGAGTACCTGGTGCAGCAGCTCCCGGAGCACCGCGAAGGTTCATAGCGCCGATACGGGACACGATGTTGCTTCCCACGGCGTCTACTGCTCCTCTAGGTGAGGTCAAGCTGGGACCTTGTGGAGCTGTTTCCTGGACGCGGAACAGTTTTATTGCTGTCCCGTTCCAGATTCCAACTGTACCCTTAGAAACCTGAATCTCGCTGGTGAAGACGAAACCCCAGAGGAGTGATTCGTACCAGCCCAGAGACAACTGTGACCACTCGAACGAATGGACACGAGGCGGTGTTGGATCTACACCTACAAGCCTGATTTCCTGTATCTTTTGCAGCGTCTCTCGGTTGGCGGATTCGCCAGCAAGTGCTTGACGGGGCAGCAGAGCTGACACTTGCTGAATCACAGTGAGCATGGTATGGAGCGGGAGCTCTGGAAGCCAGCTCTCGATCCACTGCGCACTTGGCTCAAAGATGCCGGTCTGTGATTGTCCACTGGTGGAATAGCCGCCGAGACTTGTGGTGCTGTTCTGTCGGGAGAAATTGGGTACGCCAGCGGGCATCTTTCCCCTGGCCTTCTCCGACATGCCGCGAAGTTGCGTAGGAACTGCATCCTCTGCAAATTCAGCTTGGGACGATGTGACGGACGGGTTCTCGCTTGTAGTAGACTGAGCTGGCGTGGGGCGATGATCGTCTTCGTCTTCGTCATCATCGTCATCGCTATCGTCGTCGTCATCCCCGATCGCGAAAGTTCCATCTTCTTCAGGCACATCGCTGAGGGTGGGTTGCCGAGCTTGCGAAGTCGTCGGGCTGCGGAGGCTTTCAACGGAGCTTCTGACCGAACTTGGTTCTAATCCATCACCACTAGCCGCAGCCTCTTTGCGGCGACGGTTGCGTCTCTCAATCTCCTCCTGACCACTCTCAAGCGTGAAAGTACGCAGTGCTTCAATGCGCTTCTTGTTGCGCAAGATCGAGAAGATCAACTCTGGATTCTCTGTTCGGTCGTTAGATAAGTGTGGTTTTGGCGATGCGGGTGCAAAGCTGCACCCTACATCCGTAAGGCGGTAAACTTACTTTGGTACTGATGCTCGACGACTGAGTTGATGGACTCCATTAGTGACCTCAGGAGGTCGTGGTTACTATCATTTGCCAGAAGAAACGAGGGGGACGACATGGAAGAGAATAGCTGCATCAGCTTCGATGCAGATGCCGGACTGAGTCCTTCGAGGTAAGGGGCGATATTGTTGATCACAGCCAACAATGCTGGGTAGATAGCGTTCAGTCTGCCTTGACTAGTGGTGATGAGATTGTAGATTGACTAGCCACAGTTAGCAGAGTTTCATTTCAGCGCAATAACATTGCTCACGTGGATCAAGAAGTCAGCGTATGTTCCGCTGAATCCTGGTATTCTGATGGTCAAAGGCAGACTTTCTTGTCGCCCAAAAGTGCGGTTGAGATTGGTGCCAAAGTTCTTTTCCACACTCAAAGTTTGGAGCAAGAAGGCACACATCCGCACTACCCCTTGCTTGGACGGATCATTCTTGTACTCCAGAGCATAGAAAAGTGTCAGGACGAGAAAATCCGTCAGTCGCTCTGTATCGATGATGAATGAACGGAATCGTTTGTTGCACTGCGTAATTTCCCAGAAAAGCATGATGATTTCTGGAGCGAACTTGGCCCCCGTTTGTCCGCTGGGAATATACGAGCTCTTCTCCTGGAGCGGCTGGTTGAGAATTCGCGTCATACCATCGACGATGAACTGAAAGTCCTGGGGGCGATGAAGTCTTCCAAGGAAATGACGATAAAAGTTCTTGGGCGTCGTGCCATCCTGCTCGGGTATTGGATACAGCAAGAATACCAGCAGCAGTTGTAGTGTGTAAGTCACCAGAATCTGCTTCTCGTCTTTGAAGACGAGCGTGTTGTAAGGAACACGCCAGGTGGCTGGGTTGTACTTTAGGGTCTGTTCCTGTCAGCAATAGTTCCGTCTATTGGAGCCGCAATATGCATGCACGTACAGTATTCAGCAGCGAGCAGAGAACCGACAACACGACCTGCTTGTCGGGGCATGTACAAATGTGGGTCAAGGCCCGGACACCCTTTTGTGGAAGAGCATTGGGTGACATATACATGCTCTGACTTGTCATGGTCATGAGCAGGCGGAGAATCTCGCTACGGTTGCTTTCGAACTCCTTGGTGGTAGTTACTGCGGTATTGCAGCCCACGCCACTCTGCCAGATGGCGTACGTGACTTTCGAGCGTCCATTGGGTTGTTTGGGTAAGGTGAGATCGGAAAAGAACAGCAAGTCTACGAGAGTGTCGATAAGCTCCTCGGCGAGAGGCTTGGCGTCTTCGAAGTCTTCAGGGTCGTTCCTCGGCTTCGGCGATCGCGGGCCATCCTGGGCTCCGTCGAACAACACTTCGTTGGCAATGGCGGATTGCCTCGTCCTCTTCCGCCTAGCCCCCCAGAAGAATGTTTCTTCCCATTGTTGAAGGTTATCAGCCTCGTAGATGAAGGGTAGAATGCGCGTCAGGACTCGAATACAGTTCAGAGCGTCTCGTTCAGGTGCGATCTCAGGGTCGGGGAACGAGGGATGATGGCGCAATATGAACAGTCGAGATGTGATTGCAAGTATCAGGGTTTCTAGGTTTTCGAGGGCTTTATCTCTGGTGCGACGAATGTCGGCGGGGGCAAAGAGGCTGAAGATGTCCTCTGAGGATTCGGGGAGCTCCCAAAACTGTCGAAATGTGGTCAGTAGACGTTGCCTGGGAAGAAGACACGATGCAGGAGTACCTACAGAAGTCCAGTAAGGGTCATCGGCCGGGATGTGACGCTCCTCAGACAGCCTGAAGATGCCCTTCTTGAAGACGAGCTTCGAGTCGCTGGCACCCATGTTGTCACAGAGCGTTCATATCTATCAGAACGTTTCTGACGGAAGAAGCTTGGGAAGGCGACGGTTAATGGTTCCAGACCAAAGGGCGCCCGGGTGCTACGTAATGCCAAAAAGGCGGGTCGCAGCTGCAATCCGGCCAATAGACGTTGGAAAGCGGGGTAGGTGTTCCCGTATCTTGAGGTCGCATCCTTCCATTTCCTGATGCCGAGGTACGTACCTGTGCGACTGACACGCCCAGATTCCAGGTGTTGAATGAAGGTCCATCTCTCGTAGCATTATCTAACCTCTAAGCACAGTAGAATCTGTGAAGGGAAACCAGACCAGAGCAAGACGTCCTTCTCATCCCCACCTCCTTGAATCGATGCTCTTCTTACATCGATTGTGGAGTGATTGACCCAAGTTATGCACGTGTGTTTTGACTGTGATCCTCGAAGTCCTAGTCCCATTTATGACCCGCAGGTTCTGTAGATTGACGTCTATGTACAACCCTTGCTCCTCATGCGCGTCATCTTGAGAATCCGCTTGGTGGTATAGTAATCCCATTAACAGAGCTAGGCATCTCCTGAAAAGACCCTTCAAGCGGTCCCGTAACGCCGTTCTCCAAGCTGGCAGAGAAACCACAGTCTAAAGCCCCAAACACTTCGAATGCATTACTCCATCGTTTGCGAAGAACCGTCATCATGCTTAGTGCATCCAGCTGCCTCCCGAAGATCTCCTGCCCCTTTCATAAAGCCACTTGTTGTTCAAGCCAACACTAGTGCGCTTGCCCGTCGAGGGGCTTGGTGTTCCGGGGTCGGGAAACAGAGAAGAGGCGGTACTGGCGCCCAGGTTGCTGTTGGTGCTCGCACCAAAGTTGGTGGACGAACTGAAAGATGACCTCCGGTTGCTGTTCAGACTAGCCGAGAACTTAGAGGGGCTGCCGTTCAGAGGAGAGGGCGAGTATGATTGTCCATTGAACGAGGACCCGAGCGCCGGGCTGCCCCGTCCAGACAGTGGAGAGCCAGAGAAGCTTCTGTTGCTCGCGGGTGAGCCAGCCAGGGACGGCGTGCGTGAGTATCTCGGCGGCGTGCTGTACACAGCATCAGGAGTGGCTGCCGTTGCGCTGGGCGGCAGTCCAAGAAGCTTGCGCTGGGCAGGCGTCAGGGGAATGTCGGCAAGATCGTCGGCAGGACGGAACAACGGAAGCATAGCCATGCCGATGTTTACGAGAGGAAAGAGCTGGACCGCGTAGTACGCCCAGCCGAGATACGATCGCAGAGAAGGATTGATCCTGCTGTCTGTTAGAGGTGGGCGAGACATTCAGGGTAAAGTCAAACATACCAAGAAGTAGGGACATATGATCGTGCGACAACCTGAGAAAGCCACAGACCGAGGAGAAAGGCAATGTTGTATGCGATCTTCCTCACGTTCTTCTCGGAGAAGGTGGTCGCATTGCGTCGTCTCGTGATCTCGTTCAGACGAGGATGTCTCCAGGTACCCGGGCTGTCAACAATAGCGGCGGTCTTCTGTGGTGTCGACCTGACGGGCGTGGTCACGGCGGCCCTGCTCACTGAGGAGGACATTTTGGGTGCTGTGTTGGGTATCGAGGGTTTCGAGGTTGGAGTCACGAAGTCGAGGTCGATGTACGGCGTCAGGGTCAAGGCCTGTTCTGAACCACGTCAGTCATGCTTGAGATTTGCGCACCCGCCCGGGTGGGGACAGCTTACCGATTCGTTTCTTTTGAAAACCTGTGGTATGTTAGTAAGTTGTCGTTTCCGACGCTGCGCTGTCGCCAAGCGCGAGCGTGGTTCAGTGCGCCGCTTCTGTGGTCGAGTTGACGATGTTGATGGATATGGCAGATGCAGGTCGCAGTGTGTCTCGCCAGAAATGGCTGGCAGAAAAACAATGCACCAGCCACACGGGCCACAGCAACCGGCAGAAAGCGGTCAGTCGCACTCTGGCTAGGTAAAGTGGGTACCTGCCTTCAGCTGCGAGCTTCCCGACGTGGGGCGGGTGGCGCTCAGATTCCACAGGTGCCGGCACGGAGCTGTTGAAGGAACCCGCACGCACTTTAGACCAGGTACGTACCTGTTTTAGCTGCGGAAAGGCGTGGAAGTTCCCCCAAACCCCGGGAATTTGCAGGCCGCGGATTGCGTAGGTAGCAACACCACAGGCAAGCAGAGCGCCTCACGGTCCCTGAAGTACCTACCCGACCTTCCATACCTTGGGGCCCTGAGGGTCCTTCCCGTGCAGCTCACCCAGGAACCTCTGTGGAAAGTCAGCCCAGCACAGCCGGGGGGGTATGTCAGGATCCCCGCCGAGAACTGCCAGCGCAGCCCACCTCACACGACGAAACCTCCGAGCTCGAGCTCCGGCACTGCCTCATGCTTTTCCCTCTTGTTAAACCCTCCGAGCTTTCCATGCCGGCCACGTAAAGCAATCGGTCAACTTGCTCCCTCTTCCGAACCCATCCACTCCGCACTACCGACACCGGCGACTCGAGTCTGACTTCACGATCCCGCCGCCCACCATGGGGTTCTTTGACAACGTCATGCTCCAGATGGACGAGGGCGTTTCCGGTTTCTTCGGACAATGGAACAACTACACCACCGCCATTGTCACCCTGCTCGTTGTCATCGTTTCCTATCGAATTGCATCCAGCCAAGACCCCGATACCCATCCTATGCTCCTTGCCCGACAGGCCCAAGGCTCACCAGTTCGACAAAAAGGAGAATCGCCCGTCTATCGATCCCACTCTTCTCCTCATGGCATGCCCCTGAACAGCGGACTCAACGTCAAGGACCCCGGTACTTCGAAATGGTCGAGAGGACGCGACGGAGATCTCAGAGATATATGGAGAAAGGTTGTGGCTGGCGCAACTGGCGATGATGGCAAGGGTGTCATGGGAAAGGGCAGACTGCTGACAGTCTTGGGCTCCGAGAACGTTATTGAGCACAAGTTGGGTGAGTTTGGATGACGTTCATGCCCGCTGTTGGTTCTGACAATAAGCAGAGGACATCACTCGACAGATCAATCTCATCGGACAGCATATCCACGAGCAAGGTGGTATCCGCGTTGCCATTTACCTGCCAAACTCTATTGAGATCCTGGTTGCCCTGTTTGCCTGCAGCTTCTATCCCAATCTCACGGCCATTCTGATTCCGTTCGACGTGTCCACGGAAGAGCTCACCATGATGCTCCGTCGATCTGCCGCAGACACTGTCATCACGGCTCCCGGCGCGTTCCCTTTTGAACCTGTCGTCAAAGCGTATCCCTCCCTGCGCCAGCTGATCTGGGTTGTTGATGAAGGAAGCAGCCACATGGACTGGAACGAGGTGCCCGAGGGTACCGGCGGCAGTGTCAATGTCGCGACTTGGCAAGACATCATTCGCGACGCCCCTGCTGAAGCTGGAAGAGAGTTGCCTGCTCCGAACAAGGAGGATGAACCCAGGGAGGTCATTACTTTCTGGCAGACGAAGCCCGGCACCATGGAAGAGATGGTTCGTTTCACTCAGGCCAACTTGGTCTCTGGAGTTGCTGGTCAGCTTGCTGCTGTTCCTTCAACCCAGCGCCTCAGCCCTTCTGACCTGTTCCTCGCGGCCGACTCTTTGACAAACACTCACACCCTCATCTTGACGCTCGCGGCTTTGTACTGCAACGCCTCTGTTGCCTTCAACTCGGTTGCTGGACGCTCGCCTGACTTGGTTCTCGCTACCCAAGGAGTGACCCCTACCGTGCTTGTGGCCACGCCAGAGACTCTGTTGAGGACACACCAGGAGGCTACTAAGCGCCTGACCTCTGCCATTGCCAAGGTTGCTCACTGGGCCCAATCCCGCTCTCTGACAGAAAGCGGCGTGATGCCCGTTGCCTCTGCGGCCTCCCGATTTAACAGCTCATCGCGGCCGGCAATTGGCAAAACGCCGGGCAAGTTGCGTCTCGTTTACGTTGCTGATAGAGCCGGCGCTGATTCTCCGCCTCTGTCTTCTCGGATTCTCTCTGACCTTCGCGTGTTCTTGGGTGCCAGGATCATTTACGCTCTGGCGGCCCCAAAGGTTGCAGGCGCCGTTGCGCAGACTGGCTACTACGACTACAGAGTTCATGACGATGAGCGGTCGCATTTCGGTGCGCCTGTCACGAGTACGGAGATTCTGTTGAGGGACACGGAGAAGCACAAGAATGCGGACTCGGATTATAAGGGAGAGGTGAGCGACTCATTGTGGTGATACCGCTGGACATCGCTAATAATCGTCACAGATCATAGTCAGAGGCCCTTGTGTTGCAGGCAATGAGGCGTCTATCAAGATTGCTGGCCAGATTCGGGACGACAACACCTTGGCGTATGCCTGAGATTTGTACTTATGTCACTCGGCTGAATCATGAGGGATGGAATAGAGGCAACGGCCGGCTCCTTCCTCAGCTGTAGTTTCAGATTACCTGCTCCATTAGAATATAGTTTTGCAAATTTGTATGTCATAGAGCTGTGTCATGTCCAGATCAAAAGTATCTCATTCCAGTAGCACCCTCTGAATCTGCCATACGCGCCAGTGGGCTGCCGCCCCAAACTTACATGCGTCTGGTTCATCAATCATGGTTGCCCACAGTATAGACGGCGATACTGATACTCCCGGTTCAACTACAAATGTAGATCACATATTCAATAAAAGTCAGGACGCGCAGGCTCGATGGTTGAGATATTTTGATTATTCAAAGCTAATGAATCCAACTGGCGATGAGCCTTCCTTGTCTATATCCTTATGTTGTCCAACTCTATTTTGACTGTATCAATTTTATGTCACAAAATCGGGTCAATTCCTTCGTCGGTCCCGTGATTGCACATTTCACGAGTACCTCCTCATGATCGACTCCTCAACGTCTTTCCAAGGTTGCGTGGAGGACGTACTGCCGCATCAACGAGATGCAGACGAGAGCCACAAGTGACATGCCCAGCATCGTGTACCAGACGCTCTGGAAGGCCTCCATGAAGGAGTCGGTGACGCCGGGCTGCCAGCCGGGGGACAGGTGCTTGAGCTCGTCGAGGTCGTCTCTGATGCGTCCGATGATCTCGGCGGCGTTGGGGTAGTCGCCGAAGCGTTCCCAGAGACGGCTCTTGAGTACGTTTTGGTAGACGGCGGAGCCGATGGTGATGCCGACGGTGCCACCGAGACTGCGAGCCAGGTCTGGACTTTGTTAGCACTGAGAGTTACTGAAATACGGTCGGGATAGACTCACACGTTGCCGAGGTGATGACGGCTTGCTGGGAGTGATCGACTGCGGAGATGCATCCGAGCAGCGTGATGGTCAGCATGGCGCCGTAGCCGCCGCCCGCGAAGAAGAAGACGAGGTAGTTGACCCAGGCGGGCGTGTTCTCGTCGAACTGCGTCAGGATGACGATGCCGGTGTTGAAGATGACCAGGGCGCAGATGCCCGGGACGACGTACTTGCCGGTCCTCTTCATGATGTAGCCCGCGCCGATGGACATGATGGACACGCCGAGCGGGGACGTCAGGATGCGCAGGCCGGCGTCGGTGGCCGAGAGTCCGGTGACCTGCAGGTACAGCGGCACGTAGAAGAGGGCCATCATCATGACCATGGTGCAGAGCAGGTTGGTCAGGCACGCGGAGAGGATGGTGCGGTTGGCGAGCAGGCGGACGGGGATGATGGGCTGCTTGACCTTGGTCTCCCAGAAGAGGAACGCGCCGAAGGCCAGGAAGGAGAGCGGGATGGTTGTGAGGGGGAGGGGGTGCACCCACGGCACGAGGTTTCCGCCCGCGTTCAGCCCGAGGAGCAGCAGCACGAGGAAAGATATCGTGAGGAAGACGCCGCCGAAGTCGATTCTCGCGAGGTAGGACTTGTCCGAGGCCTTGGGGGGTACCTTGACCAGGACCGCCACGAGCACGGCCGACACAAGAACCGGCGGGACCTGGACCAGGAAAGCGAGCCGCCAGCCCCAGGCCGTGTGGTCGTTGATGAGGCCGCCAAAGACGCCGCCAAGCATGGCGCCCGAGCCGTAGGCGATGTTGCCGATGCCCTGGAAGATGCCTCGTCTCCTCAGCGGAATGAGGTCGGAGCCGAGGAAGGTCGAGATGGACATGAGCCCGCCGCCACCGATGCCGGCTACGACGCGGCCGAAGATGATGGCAGACTGCGTCTGCGCAAGGCCGCAGATGAGGTTCCCGGCGGCGAAGAAGATGTTGCTGAAGACCAGGCCCGGGCCGCGGCCGAAGATGTCGGTCAGGCGGCCGGAGATGGGCTGGCAGGCGGCATTGGAGATGAGGTAGGCCGTCGCGAGCCAGCTCAGAAGGCTCAGGGACTTGAACTCGCTTGAGATGGGCCCGGAGAGGGTTGCGATGATCTACGGGGATGGCTTCGTCAGACTGCCCGCTGCTGCAGAGCCCACGACATGGGAGTGTGATGAACGACTCACGGTGCTATCAATGGCGCCAAGAAACACGCCAAAGTACGAGGTTCCCAGGATGAGAGCCAGACGGCCGTTGGAGACGGTCTCGGCGATGACGGTGGTCTCTTCATCGTTGGCGGCGGCAGCTGTAGCAGCAATACCGCGAACACCGCTATCACCATTGAGCAGAGGCGTCGTCTCCGAAGACTGCGCGCCGTTGGCCGCTCGCCGCGGCTGTTCCTCGTCCACCGGCATGTTTACGGCTCCAACTTCAATCTCACTCACAAAAACTTCCTTATGGCGAATGAGTGAAACGGAGGAGGAAAGTTTGTCGGCCGGGATTGTTAATGGCGCCTTTCGGCTGATCTACGGGGCCCCGGGCACTAACAAAGACGGACGGACGCATAAGGTAAAACGTTATGTAAGACGCCTGTCTCCCCAAGTTTCCCGTCGGAAAACGGAATGTCGTCGATTAAAGGTCGTTCGCATTCGATTGCGGCCGCGCGCCGGTCCGGTTGCGAGACTGACTAATTACTGCAAGGCCAATGGGTAAGAGAACTGCCGCCTGGCCCCGTTGATAGATCATTGAAGCACAGCTATCCGTAGTATTCTGCAGCGAGTATTACTACTACTCCTGGCTCTGCCGAAGCTCGGCAACCCCCCAGCTTCTGCGCCCCGGCCATCTTGCCCGCAACGGGTAATGGCCTCGCTGGTTGCCCATGAGGCAATCTGGTGCCGCGCGCACCCATCACGGCTTGCTCAAGTAGAGAATTTCCCCGGAAGGAAGTTTGCAAGATAAGCGCGCCGTTTGGCATGTCTTCAGCAGGGTGCCAGCCTTCAGGAAAGGGAAAGACGGCCGCGAGCTTATTGGAAACTAATCCCCGGGTGTTGCGTATGCCTTCTTATCTTACCCACCAGCGACGGAACCTCGCAATCACGTCACTGCCGATGTCGGTGTCGTTAGCGGCCTCCTTCACTGACTTATTTACCGCGCGGGCCTGTCTTGGGCTTTTGCACATTGTGCATTTCGCGGGATGCATTTCTCAGATTTCGGTCAGACTGAGAAAGACATGATGAGAATATCGACGACAGATTGAAGAAAGACGCAGAGTGATGGATCGGGAAGTGGGAGGAAGATGAGCATACCGAGCGGGATCGATACATACGAGCGACACGACGACTACGACTGAGCGTTTGCCGAATTCAGCACCAGGTATGAGGTATGGTTCATTCAACGTTTTTCAACCTCTCATTACGTCTCACTTTCGACGTCATGTATCCATCAAAATTCAAAAGACTGTCGGTTAGAAATGTATTTTCCATTTTTCCTGTGCAAACTGAGGACGAAAAGGTGCATCGCACTATGAGATTCCACTGAGGCCAAAATGGCCTCAGACGTTGCCTGAGGACCCAGGCGGGCGCAGCAAGCACCAACAAAGCCATCCAGGTGGGAAATCTCCAAACGAGGCCAAAATGTTTGGAGCCCGTGTTACTCAGACCGAAAACTCATCCGGCAAGCGACAATGGCCTCATTTGGACTTGGTGGAAGAAGCGGCCTACGGGCTTACAAGAGCTTCATGAGATGGCCATCCCTTCACTCGAACAGATCTCACAGGAGCATCAGCACCACCGTCTCATTCAGACAGCGGCAGTCTTCACCACTTCACAAATCCTCATCAACCAAGATGGCTTCCTCCGATGTCCTGTCGCAGACCCTCTTCACCATCACGAACGTGAAGCTCGACCAGCTCCACAAGCAAAAGCGAGCCTACGAGCAGTCTAAGCAGGCTCTCTTGGAAGATGCGGCCCTCGAGACCGACCACCGAAAGCGGGCAAAGCTGCTCGTCGAAAGAGCAGAGAGCCTCCCCTTCATGTCACAGATCGCCGACAGCCGCCTGATCTCCATCGCCAACCTCAAGCGCTTCGTCGACCAGGCCGAGTTCGACCCCTGTATATCGGCGGACTTCGTTCGCGGGTACGAGAACGCCGTGCGGCAGAGCCTGGACGTGGAATCGACAAAGTATCGCTTCGCGGAGCTGTACGGGAAGCTGGTGAATGAGTGGGTGTCTGATGGCAAGTCGGACGACCAGGGCTCGGAGGCGAGCTTCGTTCCGGTCGGACGGGAGGAGATGCACCAGCAGCGGGCGACGTGGGAGGACTACGTTTTCAAGGCGAAGGAGACGGACGAGGCCGCCATCACCGAGTACCTGGAGCAGCTGTTCTGCGAGTCGTCAAAGGACGTCCGTCGCGCATTTGTTCACTTGAAGGAGGACATCGAAAAGTTCCAAAAGTCGTGGGATGAGAAGACGACGCACTTTGATGAGGACTCTCTGGGCAACACCATCCGCGGGCTCCTCCGGACAGACACCCTCACCGATCAGAAGAGGACGATCCTGAACGACTTCCTTAACAACAAGGTCGTCCTGCGCGAAATCGCAGACGTCCTTAACATGCGGATGCAGACCCGGAGAGAGTGGGCATGGGACGGCGACAGCATCATCGACCAGCGACGACAGCTCAACGGACGGTACCGGTTCTTCCCCGACGAAGACCTCCTGCAGTCCATCTTCATCCACCACGTCGGGATGCAGTGGGCCGTCAGGATGCGCGCCCTCCTCGTCAGGTTCATGCGAGAGCACGGCGTCGAGAAGGCCGCGGCCAGGCGCATGAGCAAGGAGGAAGTCCGTCGGCGGAGGTACTTCCTCAGGACGACGAACGTCGACGACGACGGGTCCGTGGAGAAGAAGCTCGCGGGCCACTTCCACGACGAGATCTTCCTCGACCAGCTGCCGGCTTCCGCGGAGGAGAAGAGGGGCGGGTACAGCTCCAGCAACGACCGTCTCGAGGAGGAGGACGACACTCGTAAGTCGCACACGGCCGTGGTCCAGAACCTACTGCATCTCATCCAGTCCGAGATCATCATCCACCAGCGCCTCGGCAGCGACATCACCGTCATCCGGTCCGACCTGAAATGGTTTGGCCCCAGCGTGCCGCACTCGTCCATCTTCGCCGTCCTGCGGTTCTTCGGCGTGCGTGACGACTGGATCTCCCTCTTCCAGCGCATCCTCGAGTGTCCCCTCCGCTTCGCGCAAGATCCCCCCAGCACCCCGGCGCAGATCCGCAGGAGAGGCACGCCCCTGAGCACGCCCCTGGCGGACTTCATCGCCGAGACGATGCTCTTCTGCATGGACTTCGCCGTCAACCAGAACGGCGACGGCTGCCGGCTCTACCGCCTCCACGACGACATGTGGCTCTGGGGCGGCCAGGAGACGTGCGCGCGGGCGTGGAGGACGATGAGCGAGTTCGTGGAGATGATGGGGCTGGAGTTCAACGAGGACAAGACGGGCAGCGTGCACATCAGGGCGGCGGAAGCGGAAGCGACGGCGGCAGCCAAGAGCGATCACGTAAAGGGGCTTCCCAAGGGGGACGTCGTGTGGGGATTCCTCCAGCTCGACCCGGCGTCCGGGCGCTTCGTCATCGACCAGCGCAAGATCGACGCGCACATTGACGAGCTCCGCCTGCAGCTGGAGGCGTGCGGCAGCGTCTTCGACTGGATCCAGGCGTGGAACATTTACGGCGCGCGCTTCTTCGGGACCAACTGCGGCCAGCTCGCCAACTGCTACTCCCGCGCGCACGTGGACAGCATGCTCGCGACGTTCCACCGCATACAACGCCGGCTGTTTGGCGAGGACAACGGCGGCGGCGACGACAGCGACGAGAACCAGGTCGGCGGGGGCAGCGCCGGGGCGAGGCTCAAGCGGATGGTAGGCGAGAGGTTTGGCATTACGGACATCCCTGACGGGTATCTGTATTTCCCCGTCTCGCTTGGTGGTCTGGGGTTGAAGAACCCCTTTGTGCCCCTCTATCTCATCCGCGAGGCCGTGGCGGAGGACCCTCACGAGATCATGGACAAGTTCCTCGAGGAGGAGGAGGCGGAGTACCGGGCACACAAGGCGCGGTACGAGGACATGGACGCGGTGGATAGGGGCTCGTGGTGGCACAACGACGACTTCACGGACCTCAGGGACGAGCCGTTCATGAGCTTCGAGGAGTTCACGCGACACCGGCGGCGCACGTCGGCGAGCCTGGGCCGGGTGCTGGACAGGCTGCGGCAGCTGCCGGAGGCCAAGGGGATCGAGCTGGCGGGCGACGTGGAGGCGGCGCTGGGGTCGACGCCGGCGGGCTGGTACGGGCTCGGCGGGTACGAGCAGTGGATCTGCGGGCTCTACGCGAAGGACATGATCGCGAGGTTCGGCAGTCTTGTGATTGTGGACAAGGGGCTGCTGCCCACGGGGCTGTTGGACATGCTGAGGCAGAGCCGGTTCAAGTGGCGCGGCTGAAGGGAAGACGATAATGATGCGGAATTTAGGCGCGAGGGGCATGTCCTTGCTGGTGTTTGACGGAGTTCATGGACCAGGAGAGGACGTCTGAAGCATCGAAGTCCCTGTCGGAGTGTACAACAGCTTAATTTAGGGTTTGGATAGGGGACCTCCATGTTCGGTGTGTATCCGTACACCGCTGTACCATCAATAAAGCAAAGTCGCGACTCAAGCCTGCTCAATCTCCCCTGAATGCCCTGACTCTGTTGATGGCTGTGAAGTTGATTGCAAAGAGGCGAAGAAACGTCGAGCCTCGATCCCCGTCCTCCGATCCCTGAGCACGCGGGACTTGACAACTCCCAATACCCCGCCAAGGAGAACCCAGGGTCCTCGGCTCGCGTTGCCTTTACACCGACGAACCCGATCGTGTGCCCTTATCCATTAGCTTCATGGCCTTCAATTCTTCCGTTGGCGATGGTGGAGATGTGCGTGCTTTTTTTCTTTCTGCTCGCTCCGGCAGGCTAACTAGCACATACCTTAAACCAGGTTCTGGCCACTAGATAGATAGCTGCAAGAAGCCAAGCATCGCAGAATGTTGGGCGTGTGCGTTATTCTTCAGGCTCCGGGCGGCCGACGGACACCAAGATGGAAACTCGGCAAGGTGCAGCGGCTACGTCAGGTTGGTTGACGTGTATTTGGTATGCACCACCTCTCGAGTGAGAGATGTTCGCTTCCCTCACCGGCTGTCGTCATAACTGCCGGGGAGAGGAGCGAAGGCAGAGAAGAGTGTTGATCGAAATCCTCACCACCTTTGAATTTCGATTCTCAAATCCGCAATGACCTCAGAGGGGGGGGGGGGGGAGACATATGCGATCACCCTGGATGACCACATCAAGGCCGCCCATCACGGAGATGAAGGAACCAAACAACGACGAACAACAACTCAAATCCCCGAGAGGAAGCCCGTCAGACTCGCTGGGTGACCCCCACGCGCCGTCATCTCACTGTCTCGCCATCGTCCACGGTCCATGGTCCTTCTCTCTCTCGTCGCCGACTAATTTGCACAAGTCGAACAACTCCCGCAGCTGAAGGACCCCGAGCCCGCTATCTTGACATGCTGCTGCTGCACGGTAAAGTGGCATGCACGAGGCAGGACACTCACGACGTCGTTCCGTCCGCCTTACTCCGTCGTTCTCCGGGCTGTCGCACAGACGAAGCAGCCACGGAAATGGGGGAGGGGGAGCAGAGGATGCTACGCTACCTACCACAGGCACACACACATACACACCCTGATCGACAACGGCGACAAGAACAGACACCGGCATGATTAGAGTAGTCCGCAGTAGGTACGGGACCCCAGGGGAGGGAAGGGAAGGGGAGAGCCAGCCATGCCATATGCGCGTCTAGGTTATTAGTTCGCAGGCGGGAATGATGGATCTCGCCACCGCCTCGACTTCCCCTGCTCTTTCTTTGCCTGTCTGTCTGTCTGTCAGTGTCTGTTCTGTCAACTCATCCCCCTGCCCCCTGTTCTGTCCTCGCTTTAACCTCCCATCGGCATCCTCCACTCTTTAGCAAACCCCCTGCATCCCTACCGCAGCCGTACCCATCCCCTCTCCGTCCCATGTCCTGCCTGCCCTTCCTCTATCCTTTTTTAATTTTTCCCTTCTCACTCTTCCTCAATCATCCCCTTCTTGTTGTCCACACTTCTGCCACCACAAAGAGCCCCTGCCAAACCCATGCTTCGCCAGATCGAAGACCACAAACGCCCGTCCAGTCCCGCGTTCGGCTCTCAAATCACTTCTCCCCATCCCGCAACCACCCTGGCTCCTTGGCCCGAACGTTCCCTTATCACCCCCACATGGGAACTTTTTTGGCTCGAGTGGGCTCTTCAAGGCATCCCCTGTCCTGCCCTTCTTCCCCAGCCCGTATGATCCCCTGATCCCTGTCCCTGCCCTCCTCTGCTCTGCTTTGTACCTCTGGTACTTGGTCCTGCTGTTGTGTTGTGTTGCTCGCCAGCCGGTCTGGATACCTTACCCCGTGCGCATCGATGCGTCAAACTCCTCGATCCGTCCATCCCCGGGCGCCCTGTTTCTTGCTGTTCGTCCGGCTGTTCACCACCCTCTCTCTGTCCCTTCTGCTCGACATCTTCAGACTTGCAGCGGTACTTTCGCCCTCCTGGCCCCTCTCCGAGATATGTCGTACCAGCGGATGTCTGTCTGCGCTGTCCCCTCGAAACCCAGTTCCAGTTCCAAACCCGGGACCCTTTCAACATCGATCAACACCGCGCCGCGCTCTTAGCGTTGCAAATCATATACAGAAAGAAACTCAAAAACGCTTAAAGGAAAATGCCCATCTCCTGCCTCGGTCTGTTGCAACCGAGCCCGGTGCAAGGATCACATAAGGCAAGGAACCGAGCGAGAGAAATAACAGGGTCCATCCAGCCCGGCTTTCGCATGAGAGCGCGAGCAAGCAGGCAGGCAGGCAAGCAATACGGGAAACCACCACTCTATTCATATCCCATTATCTCGCCGCGATATATCCAGCGTATAGTACCCGTATATCCACATCGCATATCCGAAAGCTCGTGCCTCCGGATGGGAAAACCAAGTTTCCTACCGCGCACTATACATCACGTCACATCAAACACACTGCACTCCATCAATATTCTTTGGCGCTCTCCCCGTTCCTCGCCAAAAATAAGATATGTCTCCTTCCGGCGGCGCCGTACGTACAGAGCGTATGTAATCAACGAGATACAAAGATAGCTAGACCGTCCTAAGTACTATGTAGACACCAGACCAGACCCCTGTCCGCAGACACATGGGCGATGGATCGCGCCCACATGCGCCTCCCGCTCCCACAAACGGCGCTTGGAGCGATGGCGACTGGACAAGACCGCCTGTGGAGTCGAGCCGGGGTGAGGGGCGGCGGCGGCGGCGCACTGCGAAGAGCGGGAGGCAAATCAGCCACCGAACCCTCTTTCCACCGTCCCCCCTCTGAGTGAATGACTGAGTGACTGAGTGACTGCTGACTTGTGGTAGTGGTGGTGGTTGTGGTTGCTGGGCGGTGCACTTCACGCAACTCACCTGTGATTTCCCTCCTCCCCCTCCCCCTCCCTCTGCTGCTTCACCCCTCACCCCTCACCTCACTCTCACCACACCCTCCTACTCCTACCGACACTTCTATCCTCCACTCACACACCCCCAGGAAAAGCGAGCCTCGCAGCTTACTTAGCCTAGCTCAAACGCGATGAGACGCTGTACAAGAGAGAAAGGCCCAGAGTTCCGGCAAGTTGCGACTGACTATCCGCTTGCACTCCGCTGAGAGAGAGTGAGAGAGAGAGAGAGAGACCCTGAAAGGCCGATCCTGATCCGCTTTGCCCTTTCGCCGCTGCCCGCTGTTCGGTAGACGAAGCAACCGCCCACTCGGGTTCCAAAAAAGATGGCACTCTTTTGAGCAGCTACTCGAACCCACGCCTAGAGCACCCGCACATAAAGCTTTAAAATCGATTTAAAATATCCAGAAAATACTCTAGCTCCTAGAAAATGATATTCTGAGTTTAAATGTTTGAAAAGAAGAAGGTAAGCATCCTAACAAGAGGTGCTAAAGGTAGCGCTCTACAAAGTGTGCCATTTATTTTGGAACCCGAGTGCCGCCGCAACGCAGGTACCGTTCATCACGACTCGGCAGACCACGAGCACGCCATCGCAACTTTTGACTTTGATGTCCAAGCTTGATCGGACATTGTCCAGACGGAAATCAATTGTCCAGATGAAAAAGCTTTGCTCATTAATTTCTAGTCGTTCTAGCCTGAACTCTCTTCTGAGCCTTGTCTCCCTGAAAAAGAAGCCCGGGCCGAGGCTTCTTTTTCGCATCATTAATGAACACTGAAAGTATGATATAAGCTTACACTAGCGGGTATTGTGTAATCAAGATCGCGTGTTGGTCCAGGGTTGTGTGCAGTGTGCAGTGTGCGGCCTTTCATCGTGCTTTGTATTTTTGCGCTGAGGCTATCCTCCTCCTCCCTCAATCCCTCCAACCCAGAATTACGCCTGATCGTAAATATGCATAATGTTTAGTAGTTACTATTGTACAGTTACAGGTAGATGTCCACCCAGCCCCCCTTTCTCATCATGTCGTGACCAGCCCAGCTTGTCGCCGAGTAAACCAAGTGTGTAAAACCAAACATCGCGCGCTCTCCGGACCGCCTCAACCGCGCTTGACTCGCGTAACAACCCAGGAGTCCCAGTAAAAACGAAAATACCCTTCCCCTGTTTTCTTTTTTTTTCCCCCTTATTGCATGGCGTCCCCTTGTTCCCTACTCGCACAAGCCACGCTCAAAACATGATCCACTCCACTTCCACGCCGGGTCCCCCGATGCACCTCGTCCAGTTGAACGGACCTCGGCGCATCGCTTCGAGCTTGACCGCCGCGGGGCTGCGCGGCTCGTTCTTCTCCCACTCGCCGGCCCAGAGCTTCTCGAGCACGTCCAGCGCCGCGAGGTTGTTCATGTAGCCCGAGCGGGCCATGATGTCGCGGCACTTGCTGCGGACAATGTTCTGCTGCAGCTCGTTGACGCACTCGCTGCCCGCGACGAACAGGGGCCAGAGGAGGAACTTCTCGGCCTGGCTGCCGGCCTCAAGGCTCGTCGCGTAGTAGACCACCTGGGAGACGAGGTTCTGGAAGTTGCTGTGCGTCGACGGGACGTTGGGCGAGGCCAGACGCTCCGTGTAGAGCAGGGCGGCGTAGCGGAACGCCTCGGACAGATGGCCGAGGTCTCGGACCTGTGCAGAGGTTGCGGGGCCGGGGAGCGAAGCGTGAACGCGAGCCGAGTCAAACTCCCAGCTTTGGAGGGCAACGCGGGCCTCCTTCCATTCCCGCCAGAAGTTGTTGCGGTGGTCGTCGTAGGTGACGGGAGAGCAGATAAACTCATCATCATCCAGCGTTGAACCGAAGCCATTGCCGTCGAAACGGTGGCTAGGCATGTTGTACATATCTCCCAGTTGATGGTGCTGAAGACTGTTGAGGCTGCCCTTGTAGGCGTGGCCCAGGGGCGAGCCAAGCGGCGACTGAGACCGCGATGGCACGTTGCGAGAGAGAGTGCTCTGAACCGCGCGGTGCTGAGAAAGCAGGTTAAGTCTGCCGAGCCTGCCGATGGTCTTGAAGAGCTCACGGTCGCAGCCGACCATGTTCTCAGCGCCAGGAGGAAGAAGCTGGGCGTCGGGCATGACACCGTAGAAAGTAGTGTTGAGCTGAGCCTCGCGGTCGTTGATGCTCGCCGAGATGGCGTCAAAGTAGGTGAAGATGGCCTCCATCCACGCGGAGTCGCGGGAGGGAGCCAGGTTCTGCGAGCGCCTCATGGAGAGAATCTTCTTGACGCCGGCGAACTGGGTATGGAACTTGGCAATGCCAGACTCCACCATGCGGTAGTGGCAGAGCAGTAGGATAGTTGCCAAAACCGAGTCATGACTCGACTTGGCCGGGTCGTTCAGTTGCTGGTTGAGCAAGTGAACGGCCAGGTTCCGGTGCTGGTACTCTTCTGACAGAGACTGGTCATCAGGCTGAGCATCCGCCATTGAATCAGCAGCGGATTTCTCTGCCATGAGCTTCTCGGAGAGCTCCCGTGTGTCCTGGCCGAGACTGAGCCTGCGCTTCATCCGCAAGTTGCATGCCGACAGGGCGCAGATGGCGTGTTGTAAGCTTTGGCTGTTCGAGGCGAGCTGCAGAATGTGCTCGCGGTAAGGGTTGCTGGGGCCGTCAATGAAGACCATTGACGGGCACATAATGTTCTTGTAGTAGTCCATGAAGAATGGCATCTTGGAAATGAGATCCGAGTTGACGTGGACGGCTTGGGGCTCAAACATGGTAGGCCATTGAGCCGACGCCTGGTGGTCTGAATGCCGCGGCGACATCTCTTCGGGAGGAGGCGAGGTCCATACGTTGCTGTTCGAGTTGCAGCTTGTGCTGTACGCATCCATCTCGGGAACGCCTAAAGCCGTCACGTCAGCGAGCTTGATCCTATAGCAGAGCCGGACAGGCCGTCTCACTTAGAGTGTCACACTCCCGCATCAGTTTCTGACTCAACTGGCTCTCGAAGTTGTCCATGTGCGACGTGAGGCTCGAACTCGGTTCGGACGGTGCGTACACGAGGCTTGGGCAAGACGTGGGGGCTCGCTGGTCAATGAGAATGGCGGAGATGGGGCTCTGCGGAACTGGAGAGCCATGCGTGCTATAACCGTCGTACATGACAGTAGGGCTGTGAAGAAAGGGAATGTCGTCTCTCGGATATGAGTGGCTGATGGGTGACATGTAGTCGGCGTCGCTCACGGACTCCAGTGAAGAAGACAGAGCGCTCGAGATGGGAATCGGGCCCAGATGAGCTCCCAGCTTGCGGTAGTTGGGTCCATCAGTTGGTATACTGCTGGAATATGAAAGGTTGCCCCAATGGCTTGCTGCAATAGACGAAGATTGCTCGGGATGCGACATGGAGAGGAAGTCGTAGCTGTGAGGGTAGGGGGTGGTTGGGGTGGTAACGATGTGCTCTGGTGAGAAGCCGCCATTGTCGCGTGAATTCCTTCGAGACATGTTGTCAACGTCGGCCCAGCCAGCGGAGGTGGCGGTTGAGTTAGCACGGGCGCGGACTGGGGACTTCTTTGCGACTCCAGCCACGGGTGGCGCTTTCGCGATGGGAAGGGACAAGCCGCGGAGCTTGCCTCTGCTGGCGACACCAACGCCCCATGTCAGTTGGGTCTTGTAGCCGGAGCACTCGTTGCCAATCTCGAGACATTGTGAGCAGTAGGGCCGTCTGCGATCACACTTTACGTTCCTCTTGGAGCATGTGAAGCAGTCGTCAGCGGCACCTCCGGCGGGAGCGCGTCTTCTCCTCTTGCGAACAGAGGCGACGGCAGCAGCAGCCTCCTTGGCTTGCGCCGTTGATTGTTGAGTTATGGGAGCGGTCATCTTGTCAGGTTTTGTAACGAGTGAACTGTCAAAGATGTTGGTGGCGCATATGCGAGGTCGAGTGCCGGTCAAGGTAGAAGTGGAAGCGGAAGCGGGCAGATCCGAACGTCCAAGACTCCGTGTGGTTTGGGTAAATAGGATTTAATGCGGAAAGATGAGTTCTACTTCAGGCACAAGCAGAAGGTAAAAGTAGGTAGACTGATGAAGTCGAGAGACACGGCGATACCTCGAGAAAGGTATGGCTTGGGGAAGAGGAGTGTATAAATGTATCGAGCTGTGTCGAGCGTGCTTGCTGGCAGCCACCGATTACATGGATGAGAGATTGGCTAGAGATATACAGGCGGCGAACATGGATCATAAACCTCACCAAGCAACTCGTCCGGGGGAGGGATGTAGGAATTGTACAAGCAGTATGAAAGTACATCATGTGCGTAGACGGGGGGCCAGGAGGCAACTTGAGAGCAGTGACGGGGGTGGGGGGAAGGCAGAGGGGGAGACCGGGGGCGGCGACGTCGACCGAAGGAGAGAAACCTACGTGAAGGCGAGCCGGGTTGGGTGGGTGTGTGAGAAGTGTAGCTTCTCGGGGTGTGTGTGCCTCGCCTCTGGGTTCCTGGCCGTTCTCTCGATCTTAGTGGACGGGGGAATAGAGAGCTCGAGAGACACAACTAAGAGTGGTAGGCAAGGCTAAAGATGAACAGAGAGTTGAGAGAGCGAGTGAGAAGAGAGAGTGGGAGGGTGAAGACGAGCAGATCAGCGGGTCCGTTGCCAGATGCCTGAGGGACAGGGATTCCCTGACAAGACGGAGTCCCCATCTCATTGCAGGTACAAAGTCCAGGGTTCCAGGTACCTTGCTTTGCCTGGCTTGCCCGCGATTTTAGGTTGTTCTGGTCAAGATGTGGCCAGTCGATGCGACAGGGGCCCTGGTCATCGAGTCTTTGGAGGGGGTTGCATGCCTTTTCCATTTCCCTTACTCCAAGATTCAGTTGTGAGGTGCGCTGCTGCTCGACGACGTTGGAGAAGAGGAGGGCAAATGCGGAGAACTTGGCTAGAAGACGACTCCGGATCTAAGAGTATTAGCAAAGACGAGACTGCCTCTCAAGACGACCAGGCAATAGACTATGAGGAGCCTAGTTCTCGGCTCGATGCACGTCCGACTCAGTGCGGTCATACAATATCCGGTCTCCGCCGCTGGGATATATGAAAAAAATCATGACTGATGACATGCGATGAACGGAGATTCAACCCGGTCGCCGCAACGGGATCCGTAGCACGGGAAGCCAGCGAGATAAGACGTGATAGAGGATTGCGGGGGGGAAGAGGAGACGAGACGGAGAATGATCAATGCACCCGCCAGTAGAGACGAGGATAAGACGTCCATTTGGCGGCGCTTGCGATCCCTGTCACGACGAACTCGTATTCACGGTACCTGAGAATGCTCCCAACCCGCTTTGCCAGCCCGGATATCTGACAGAATACCAAGCGAACAGACGAAAGGCTGGCAGTAGATCCGGTGGGACTACTGATCGCGGATCGTTGCGGATGTTCAAGGTGTGACGATTCCGAGTAATCATCGTTGATGGTCTTCGAGTCTCAGCTAATAAACCGTGCTCGTGGCCAGTGTCGGTCGACGAAGAGGAATAGCCAGAAACCTCTCGAGACATGGACCCAATACTCAGGCCGGTTTCTGTGGGCAGTAGGAGAATACAGCGTTGCACATCCGTTGTCAGTCTCCGAGAGGGTTTCTGAATAGACTGAGCTCCAGGCCATGCTGGTTGCTGCTCCTTTAGCGTCTAGCCTCAACCTAGCTCAGGTCCTTTTGCAAACCCACCAAAAACCCACCCTCCTGCTCACTGCCCACCCCTGCTAGCGATGCGATGCGATGCAATGCTGCTGCATCTGCCGCGCTACAGGGCATGGCAGGACAGGGTTGGGCATGTAGGGACAATGACAACGGCGGCGGCGGAGGAGGCGGCCAGGGCAACGATTGATTGGCAGCTGAGCAGCCAGCTTGCGTGCTTCTTCTGCATCGAGAATCTCAAGAGGCGCCTGTGAAGAACCCCAAGCCTGTGCAATTAACTTTGGGCTTGCTGCGGGCAAGGAACCAGGCGCCGCGAGCTAAAAAGACGCGGACAATTGTCGTCGACGGGGGTGAGGCTGGAACGGTACTTGAGCTGGGATGGGTGGATGAGGTAAAGCGAGGTGAGGTCTTCTTTGACCAGCGTTAGTTACAAACTAAAGGCGGGAGATGTTGATTGGACACAATGTTTGGACGAACTGGCGGCTGGCACAAGCCTTCGCCGTTGACCCAAGCCAGCCCAACCTGGCCAATGGCACATCTGAACCAGGACTGCCAGCGGAAGCCACATCTCGGTAACTGGGCAATCCCGTCTGGGTTTGATGTCGAACATGACAGGATGAACCAGTCAAAAGACGAGTTGTCGCGTGGGGTTGAGAGCGTGTCTGAGATGACTCTCGAAAGATTGCGGCGCCGGTGGGCAAAGAGAAAGGCCCACGAACGAGACGCAGCTGCGGTAAGGCGAGAAAAGGAGCGAAATGCATGTGACAGCTGGAGATATTGCTGGTTCTGGTGCTGGTAGAGAGATGTGAGCCAGAGACTGAACTGAAGTGAGCGGACGCTCTCTCCTCGCACAAGGCGTGCTGAGTCCGAGGCGGACGAATACCGCCGAGTACTTTTCCGCTACTGTCTGAGGTACCGGGCGACTGCGGGGGATCCCGCGTCAGGACACTTGTATCTGACGGCGTCTGTGTTGTATCGCCATCTCCCTGTTTCCCTCGGCACCCTTTGCCTCGAACCGAGCTGACAGGGATGATGACGGGGTGGTTCATCGGCCGCCCTTCAGCCCACCCGCTGAGCGCAGGGCAGATGGAGGAGAAGAGTCGGTGGTCTGCGGCCCTGTGCCTTGTGGTGCTGCTGTGCAACGACAACGGTTGAACCCCCGCGCCCCGCGGCGGAGCAATTCTTGTCCTTGTCATTCCCGGCCTTTTTCCTGTTCCTGTTCGGCTTCCAAGTTAACTGGCACAGCGCTGGTGCCCATATGGCGCCAATGCTCAGTGCCACAGCCAGGAACCGCGGCAGACACAAGTCAGAGGGTGTCAACGTGCCATATTGGGCAAATTTGGTCCTTGTTCTGTCGTGGCAACTGGCTGAAAGATGGAGCTTGCAGTGGACAGGGCAATACAGTTCGCGTGCGTTTAATATCCGTGGGATGGACATTCAGCGCAGAGAGAATTTGTATCCATTCTCGATATCAGCAGTCGAGTGCTGGAGAAGCCCGTTATCTTTTTTGTCTGGGGACCCTGTCTTTCCTGCACCTGCTCCGAGCAAAAGGGCCTTGGGCTCTGGAGCCAGCTGCGCTGCCAGCGCTGAAGCGGTCTAGCGGTGAAATTGGCTGCCGGTTTGACGGAACCTGACGTGAAGAGACATTTGGTCGCGGTTTCGCTTTGCTCGAGGGTGCCCGGAGACAGGCGATGCTGGATATCATTTGCCGCATTTTCCTGTCGACATGAGAAATGGCCCAAGGTCAAGGTCAAGGTCCCGTCTGCCCAAAGTTGCCTGGAGACGCAGTTGCCGGTGATCATGGGAGACGCCGTCGTCTTGGGAGAGACAGGATGCCCTGCCCAGCGCCAAAGGCTTGTCTTGTTGTCTGTCGGCTCGGTCGCGTGTGGAATATGATTCAAGGTGCAGCAGCAGTGTAGTGGAGAGAAAGTCTTGGCCTGCGCCGGATGCTGGATGGATGTCGGAGAGGAAAAGAAACTGGCTGGCTGGACGGGTGCAAAAGTGCAGGTGTGGAGAGAATTGCAGACGAGTCCCGGCTGCGCTGGCGATTGCAAGTGCAGGTGCAGCAGGTGCGGTGCAGGTGCAAGTGCCACCCGTGCAACAGCACTGGCACAGGCACAGGCACAGGCACTGGAACTGACGCCAACACCTGGCAGCCACCTCCCGCCCGTCAGTGATGCTGGTCCCGGAGGAGGAGGAGGAGGAGGAGGGGCTGCGCCGGTACTCGAGGGGCTCCGAGCAGAAGCAGGAGCAAGGCAAGCTTCCCTGGATGCTTCAGCAAGCCAACCTAAGGTGAAGCAGGGGCTAAGGCGCAGTCAAAAGTGCCAAAGATGCCCTGTTCTCAACTGTCACGTCAGGTTTCATTCGCTATTCCCCATTCCTAGCGCAGGCAGCCTGCCATCCCGCTCCAAACACCATCAACACCCATCGTCACATCACATCGGATCGTGTGTGTATGTGGCTACCTAGGTACCTACGGATAGGTCAAAGTGGTTTACACCTTCCACACATCGGTCAGTGCCTTTTCTCCTCGTCGCCCGTACAGGAAAGGCCAAATCAACAGGCATGATAAGGTAAGGTACGGATGGCCGTACCTTACGAGATGCTTTATCTGTTCACCTCGACCAAGGATCCTCCACCGAGCATGCGACCCTCCAAACCTGATGGAAGCGCTGGAATACTACAGAAGAACACGAAGAGCCAGGCTACAGCGGCCTCTGGAGTCTTGGCTTGCTTGCCTGCCTGCCTGCTCCTACTTGTAAGTTAAGTTACTAAGGTTCGTGTAGTGTGCGCCGAGGCGTTCCACTGCGCCTAGCAGCAGCAAGCAGAGCGTGCCATTGCAGCGCGGTGCAGGCCATTTGGCAGGGTGTTGCAACCTCTACAAAGTGGCACAGAGCGGGCGGCTTTCTGGTTGACCTTCGGTGCAGACTTCGACGCGCCTTCTGCCGTCGCCCAGAGCCTTTCTAAGGCCAATCGCCCGGGACACGCCTCTCATCTCGTTGGACAGGAGTGACTTGCAGCGAGATAGTTGCAGCAATAGACCAACCCAACTACCTAGACAAACTGCACTTGCACTGCACGAAGAAGAAGTGTAAAGGAAGGAGGGGGACATCACCCACACCTTGTGCCTTCTGCGTTCTGGCTCGGCTTCCATCCCTCCTTCCATCGTGCCCTCCTTCTTTCTCTGCTCCGGCCAAGCCCA